AGTTCAATGCAATATTATATATTATAGAACCTAAAATTGCTTATCTTGGAATGAGATAACAAAGACTTTTATTGAAATCCACTGGTTAGATGTGTAATTTTTGACTCACCAATCTAGCTCTAGTTTTCTCATTAAAGAAGAATGATGCCCAATCATCATAAAGTGCTTATTTTAAATATAACATTTCTAGAATGCGACTAACATGCAAGTTGGGGTCATCCCATAAGTATAATGACCGTTGTCTTCTTAAAGGATCTCTTAGATACATCCTCCAAGTCCCTGAGAGATATTCTTTGCTATAACACATAATATATCTGTTTACATAACTCCCAGACATCTGAAGAGAAACTATAAGCTGATCAACTCTCACTTCCCCTTAGTTTAGATGCAGAAATCTCTCCTGTTTTACATTGGAAATGTGTATGTGCCTCACGGGAGGCCAGAGCTCCTGGGAACAGGATTCCCAAACCAATTCTTCATGTTTTTAACCACAGGAGAGTGGCTTTTATAGAGTCAGCATCTTCATAAAGTTGTCCAGTTGCTAAAGCCACAATAGAAGGCCAGTGAGAAATTGGGGAGTCACACATTGCCTGGAAGCAGTTGAATGATCAAACTGCTACTTGGAGCACTTTCTCTGTAAGTCTTTTGGGAATAGTACAGTGGAAAGTGAATTGTAAGTGAGACTGTAAGTTTGGTCTTCTACTTAATTCTTTGTTTATTTTAGAGAATGTTATTGCACCTTCATATATGAGTTTGTAAAGACCTTGAAAATCACTGACATAAAAAAAGCATGAGCCCATTAGAGCACAGGCAGCTAAGCTCACAGTAGTTGAGCTCTAGTCAGTCTCCAGCAGAACAGTTGACCAGCAAGTGTTCCTACTTTGAGCAATAGAGATATATTGTTAGTGTCTGGATTTGTGCCAACTGTTACAAAGAAAAATGAATTAAACCTTATCCTTGAACGTAATGAGCTTTGGTCTTCCTAGGAGAGGTGGTTAAGAACTATGGATCCAGTCGGAGGGATAAAACTACAAAAAAGGAACCTACAAACTTCCCAGATAGTCCATGTAAGGAAGATCACTTTTAAATTGGAACACTAGAGAGGCCAGACTGTGCTGAAATAACTACAGATCATGGGAGAAGGACCAGTTGGATGTCTGAATCTGAGCAGAGCTGTAGCCAGACCTGCTAAAATGTGGCAGCAGCCTTGAATTAGGGTCAATTTAAATCAGTGGTTAGGTCAGTTGTCACGGTTGGCTGTAGATCTGTCATTCTCAAAGTATTATTCCTGGAAAGGCAATATCACCATTACTGGGAATTTGTTAGAAGGACAACATTTTGGGCTTCCCCCTCAGATTTATGTACAAAATTGGTAAGTGGGGGTTATGTTCAGCAATCTGTGTTTCAACAAGAAATCCAGGTGATTTGATGCATACTCGCATTTGAGAACTGGTGGTCTAGATAAAAGATTTTAGGCTTCCCCCTCAGATGTATGTACAAAATTGGTAACTGGGGTTATGTTCAGTAATCTGTGTTTCAATAAGAAATCCAGGTGATTTGATGCATACCCGCATTTGAGAACTAGTGGTCTAGATAAAAGAAAGTCATGGTGAGAATGCCATACCATATATTTGAGAAAAAATAAAATAACTCTAAACCTTGATTAGGACATTTTTTGTGTGTCCAGGGGTGCCCCGACCAGATGTCCAAAACACCCATCTGTGAGAGATGACCTTCCCTCTGCTTCAGGGGAGAGCACAGCAGAACCTGGCAACTTCTTCACCAGCAGGATCCTGGATGGTTAAGGAGATACTCAAAGAGAGCTAAAGCTGCCGTCTGTGTAGCATCGTATCCTGAGGCATGTTTAAGGATTCCTTCAGTTCTCCCCTTGTCCTCAATCCCTCACGTCCTGATTTTCCCTCCTTTTCCAGGCAATTGCAGAGGAGGTTTTATTTGCTTAGGCGGTTACTTACTGAATATATATACAAATACAGAGACTGCATAGGTATCTTTTGTATTCATTGTTTTATCACAAGGTTACATTTTTCATCACTAAATTATTTTTTAATGCATACCCGCATTTGAGAACTAGTGGTCTAGATAAAAGAAAGTCATGGTGAGAATGCCATACCATATATTTGAGAAAAAATAAAATAACTCTAAACCTTGATTAGGGCATTTTTTGTGTGTCCAGGGGTGCCCCGACCAGATGTCCAAAACATCCATCTGTGAGAGATGACCTTCCCTCTGCTTCAGGGGAGAGCACAGCAGAACCTGGCAACTTCTTCACCATCAGGATCCTGGATGGTTAAGGAGATACTCAAAGAGAGCTAAAGCTGCCGTCTGTGTAGCATCGTATCCTGAGGCATGTTTAAGGATTCCTTCAGTTCTCCCCTTGTCCTCAACCCCTCACTTCCTGATTTTCCCTCCTTTTCCAGGCAATTGCAGAGGAGGTTTTATTTGCTTAGGCGATTACTTACTGAATATATATACAAATACAGAGCCTGCATAGGTATCTTTTGTATTTATTGTTTTATCACAAGGTTACATTTTTTCATCACTATATTATTTTTTATTTGATTCTGCTTTGTTCAGCTTTTTACTGAATGTTAAGCAAGAATGCTGAAGGTTTATAGTAGAGCAAGATATGGAGATGCTAGATTAAATTAGTCAAGGGTGTCGTGATACTTTCAAAATTCTGTCACTCCATGTTTCTGAACTATACTTATTGAATGCCTATTACGTCTCCAGGTACATTGTGTTTTCCTCTGTGCTATAATATAAAGATAAGATTCTATTGCTGGCAGATCAAGCACAGACTTTTTGCAAAACAATTAGGAAACACCAATGAGTATAGGAAACTTTTATCAATATTTGATAGCAGCATGATCAGAGAAACAATGGAGAGAAGAGGCATCTATGTATGTAAAAAAGAATAATAATTTTAAAATTGTAATAGGTGTAATTCTTGGTACAGATAGAATAGGACAAGCAGAAGTTAGTTATTTGAGGGCAAGAGAGTTGATTCTATAAGAAACATATGATATATACAAAAACACAAAGATGAGAGCAAGCAAAGTATGTTCAATAGGTGCCTGAATCTATGTGGGTGAGATAGGAACATACTTGAAGGGAGTTATTATTTATTCATAAAGTTATGAATACTCAGAAGATTGTTTAATATGGGGTGATGTGATACAATTTACATTGTAGAGAGATTTTATGCCAATAGAATTGTGAAGAAACTTTACAGTGTAGAATGGAGGCAAATAGATAAGAGGTTTTTAATGAAACAGTCAAACCCTAAATTCATGTGTCTTTTCTTTCAGCCAGTTCCAGGTCCACCTGCCAGTCATGGTATTATCTCTCAACAGCACAGGAACCCAGGTGACTGAGTTCCTGATGATGTGCCTGCCAGGAATGCAGGACACACAGCACTGGCTATCTGTAGCCCTGGCTCCCCTCCTGGTTTTGGCACTAGGTGCCAATTTTGTGTTATTACATATCAGGTCCTCTCTCAATGTCTGAATCAGTGATTTTCCAACTTCTGCCCTTCTTTTTACTTCCAGGGTGATTCTCCTTGACTGTGAATGACCCCACCTTTACATCCAAGGCCTCTAGAATTTACTTTCTAAGATGTGACTGGATGTATGCATATGTCATTTACTGATATAGGAAACATAGTTGGAAAAGGGTTCTTATGAATATGTAGAGGTTGGAGTCTTTAAATATAAATATTACCGGACTTAATGTCTTGTGATACATTTAGATGGGCAGATGTGTCAGCTGGAGTTTGGGTAAAAACTATAAAGATCAAGAGAAGACGGGCTATAAATAAACATTTTTAAATAAAAATCATGCTCTATAGATAAAGGGAAATGGTTGTAAATCAAGCTCTGGAGATGAGATTTGGATGCACAAAGAGGGTACTTGAAAACAGGATACTGTCCCAGAGGGGATTATGGGGCTGTTGCTTGGGGATATGGAAGGTTGAGGCCATCTGAGTGTTTTCCATGTTAGGTACCTCAGAGTGGGGATGGATGCACAGTTTTTGAGAATGATAATTCTGGCAGGTCCTGCTCATCTTCTGGTTCAACATGAAGCCCATCAGCTTTGCTGGCTGCTTCCTGCAGATGTTCATCATGAATACATTCCTTCCCATGGAGTCCTCCACCTTTCTAGTCATGGCCTATGACCGCTATGTAGCTATCTGCCACCCACTTCGCTACCCATCCCTCATCACTGAACAGTTTATCATTAATGCAGCCATTTTCATTGTCTTGCGAAATTTTCTGGCCACACTGCCCACACCTGTTCTGGCTGCCAGGCTCAACTACTGTGCCAGCAATGTGGTGGAGAACTGCATCTGTGCCAACATCTCTGTGGCAAAGCTTTCCTGTGGGGATATTTACCTAAATAAACTCTACCAGTTTGTGAGTGTTTGGTGCCTACTGGGTTCTGATCTGGTACTCATCTTACTATCCTACTGCTTCATCCTGAGGGCTGTGATGCGTCTGCAGTCAGGAGGTGCAGCCACCAAGGCCTTGAGTACTTGTGGTTCCCACCTCATTCTTATACTATTCTTCTATACATTGCTGCTGGTTTTCATCTTCACAAACAAGGCAGGAAAGAAGGTGCCCTCAGAGGTACCCATTCTTCTCAATGTCTTGCATCACCTTATTCCACCAGCCCTGAACCCCATTGTTTATGGAGTGCGAACCCAGGAAATCAAGCAAGGAATTACCAAGCTACTGAAGTACCACTATTGAGAGGTGAGAGTCAAAGATCAGGGATTATGGAATTTGGGGCATATATTAGTGATGGTTTCATCTGAATTCCATAAGAAACAATATGATATCCATGCTGCTACCCTCATCTTGAACTTAAACCTTTCTCAAGCACTATTACAATATTTACCCTCACTGCCCCAATGGGATATGCTTCAGCCATATAAAAGAAGAAAATCTTGCCACTTGCAACAATACTGATGGACCTTGTAGGCGTTTTGTTAGGTAAATTAAGTCAGGGAAAGACTAACACTGTATGATCTCACTTACATGTGGAATCTAAAACGCAAAGCAAAACAAAACAAAACGTGAGCTCACAGATACAGAGAACAGATTACAAGGATGGTTGCCAGAGGCAGGGGTAGGAGGTGGGCAAAATAGGAAAGGGGGTCAAAAGATATTAACTTTGAATTTTTAAAAAATTAGACATGGGGATGTAATGCACAGCATGGTACTGTATTACATATATCATAGTTGATAAGAACATAGAGCTTAAAAGTTCTCATCATAAGAAAAACAACTGTAACCATATGTGATGATGGATTTAACCAGTCTTATTGTGGTGAATATTTGACAACATATACAATTATCTAATCATTATGTTATACACCTGAAACTAAAATAATTTTACATGTCAATTGTACTTCAATAAAAAATAAGGATGTGAATACATTATGGTGTTACCAAATATTTAGTCAACAGAAAGAAAACTTAAAATCCCTAAAGGACCAAGCTGAATTTGCCTCACCCCACCCTGCTCTATCCCAGATCTTTAAATCCCTGGTAAAGTATATCAAAAAAGGTAATTGTTTTAGCTCTCCTTTATTTACAGCTACCCCAACAATATTCACTGTCCATTTGCTCAGATCTGCCTCCTGTGGCATCCAGCCTAGGAGTAATGCAGATGCAATTATTCAATCAAGCAATATTTGAAGAGAATGCTTTAGTGTTGAGCATTATTCCAATGAAACCCAAAATATAACATCTCTGTGTTGTATCATTCCCTCTCTAGTAACATTATGATGATAGGGTCTGACCTTAAAACGCCAGCCTCTTCTTTTGTAGGTCTCTAGTTTGTAGGATTTAGTCCTTGCTTTGGTTCTGACCTGCGTTCTCATTCTATTATCCTACATTAACCTCCATGTCTCTGCTAGTTCTAGGATGATAGTCATCTCTTTGCCACGGCCCTGGACCTCTCTCTTTGTCTCCCTGTGGCTGTTTCCCACCCACTACAGGAATGTCCATTACTTCTTGGGCTTCTGTTTGTTCTTGACTTGGGCCTCTGTACTTATTGCTCCATCTGGTTGGAAAGTCTTACTCTGTATGTTCAAATGATTAACTTCTCAGCATTAACATTTCAATTCAAAAATTACCTTTATTGAGTGTACGTTCCCAAATTTGCACCCAAAATGACTTTCTTCTGCTATTTCAGATCTCTCAAACACATTATGCCATCTCTTTTTCTTTTTTTATTTATTCATTTACCTATTTAATAATTACATTTCCCTTAAATCAAATTCACCTTAAAAGGTACCTGGATTGCAAGCAGCTTGTCTTTTTTGTTCATGATCTTATCCACAGTTCCTAGATCCTGACATATCTGGCACATATCAGGTGTTGAATATATATTAGATGTATTGGTCCAAAAAAAAATGGTTCCAAACTTTAGTGTGCACAGCCACTGCCACATCTGTGACCATACTGAAATATATTCTTAGGTCAATCTCCAGAGTTGGTTGGAATGTCCTCTAAGATAGCTGCTTGATGCACTTAACAGTGATAGGAGACAAGTCTTTGACATGCATAAAGCTAATTAACAAGACCTTTGAGATTCTAATCTTTTCACCCTGTTTTCAAATATTTTATATTCTGCATTCTCATTGTTTTCATGCAAAGAACTCAGAATTCACCCTAATTCTCTGGTTTCCTTTTCTCTTTGTGGTTAAGCAGACACAAATCAGAGAGATTTCATTTATTATTGTGATCATTTATTAAACATTTTAAACCAGTTAACTTGCTTTTTCTTTTTCTTTTTTTAATCTCACCCAAGAATATGTTTTTATTGATTTTAGAGAGAGAGAAAGAAACATCAGTATGAAAGAGAAACATCCACTGGTTGCCTCTCATATAAGCCCTGACTGGGAATCGAACCCAAAATCTTTTAGTGTATGGGACAATGCTGCAATCAATTGAGTCACCGGCAAGGGATAACTTGCTTTTCCTATCCATTTCCTGAGTTTTTCATCAATATCTGAGGAGAATATTAATTCATATAATATGTTGTGAGTGAAATACAGCCACTGTTGTTCTTTATTGAGTTTTTCACATAGAAATAGGACATAAAACTCTATAAGTAAGCCAGAATTTCTGTTCCCACATTTTAAAAATTAGTAGGCAAACAGTGAAGATATTTTAATAATACAAAAAAATTCAAAATTCAAAATTCTCTTTTAGTAAAAAAAAAAAAAGCTTTTTATAAATTCCTCAGCTCTGCAAAGTCATTTCATATGTTTCATTCTGTCATTTTATTTTTTAAAAAATCTGTGTTTGTTTTGAGATAAGTTGATGTGAATCAATATTAAGCCTCATAATTTTTAGAGCATTGATCAAAAGATGCTGGTAATACCATTTAGAAGTTGCAAGAATTATATTTTTTACAGTAGCAGTTGATTAAATTTGCTTTAGAAGTATATCATATGTTTATTTTGAGAATCCTTCTCATTGATATTTAATTAGAAATATGTTGAATTAAGAACTTCTTCTGAAATAGTATGGTTTGCAAGAGTGAGATTTTACTTGGCTACACTGGTCTGTAGCACAGAGAATGTATTGTATAAATGGAATTTGAACATAATAGTACTTGAAATTACTGTTCATTGTTAGGATGATGTAAATACGTTTTCATTTGCAAGCAGCTAATACTAGGAGTCCAACATTTATGTAAATAAAGACCATCGGATAAAGTTCAAGATTGATTTGTTTTCATTACTGGATGGAGGATTAAAGAAATTGACAAAGCATAGAACACTGTACCTTAAACAGATCAGTGGTTTTATTTAATATTTTAACTCAAGTTAAATGGCCTAGACTTTGGGAACTGTACTGATAGTAGACTTTGACACATTTTCTTTTTGGAGTCACAAGGCAGGAACCCATAATTTGGGGTGTAACAAGACTTTCCCTGAATGGAATTGATATTTCCCACATCAATAATCCTCAGAAACATGTGAATGTTTGAGTCTTCATCTTGTCAATCCTAAAGACAAAATGAAGACTCAAATAGCATAACTTAGTTTTTTCAGAGGGAAATGCTTTGTCTATTGGAGCCTCTTGGCTATTGGACCAAGGAGGAAACATACCTGGGCAGGTGAATACAGGCTTGGATCTATACATGATGTGAATGTATAAATGATCTTCCAAACATGCTTGAATTTTGGCCTGTGAACAAAATTATAAATTATAGTATTTGGAAGTTAACCTTGACACAATGTTCAAATTTCCCATTTAGTTTCACCGGTTATGAGACAATGTGGGAAGTATCTACACCCGTGTTTAAAGGGAAAAAGTATAGCTCAGATTGAAAGACAGACACATATCAAAAGTAAAGGGATGGAAAAGGAATTTCATGAAGATGGGAACAAAACAAACAAAGCTGTGGTAGCAATACTTGTCCCAGACAAAATAGACTTAAAACAAGAGACAAAGAAGGACTCAGCCAGCAATTCCACTTTTAGGAATTAATCCAAAACACTAATTTGAAAGGACATATGCATCCACATGTTCACTACAGCATTATTTACAACTAGAGGCCCATTGCACGAAGAGATCTGTGCAATAGGCCTTCCTTCCCCTGGCTGCCAACACCGGTTTTTCTCCTGCACCAGGAACCCAGGCCTTTGGTCCCGCCACAGTGATGCTTGGCTTCTCTGCTGCAGCCCCAGTGAGGCTCTTCAGTCTTCAGTCTTCAGTCTTCAGTCTTCAGTCCACCCAGAGCCTTCAGTCTTCACTCTCAATTTGCATGTTTCTCTTTTATTAGTGTAGACTAGAGGCCTGGTGCACAAAATTCATGCACTGGGGGGTGGGGTTCCCTCAGCCCAGTCTGTTCCTCTCACAGTCCGGGAGCCCAAGAATGAATGTCCTACTGATGGCCACAGTCTGGCAGCAGAGGCTCGGAACAGGCATCCTGTGTGTGTCTGTGTGTGTGTGTGTGTGTATGTGTGTCTGTCTGCTAGGACCTGCCTCCAGCCACGCTATGTAGGCTCGAAGCAGTTGCCGTGTGTGTGTGTGTGTGTGTGTGTGTGTCTGCTGGTGGCCTGCCCCCAGCTACACCATGGAGGCTTGGAGCAGGAGCCCCTCTGTGTTGATGTCTCAGGCTCCTGACCTCCACGGCATGTTGTACTCTCCCTTGAGCTATGGCCAGGATGGGGGTGCTGCTTGCAAGCTGGGTTTTCCTGCTCCCAGATCTCCATGGTGACCGGGGAGCAGGCCCAGCTTGGAGCTGCCCACAGGCCGGGCTTGCTCTCCTGCTCCCAGATCCTCATGGCGACTGGGGAGAAGGCGCAGCTGGGGGTTGCCCGCAGGCTGGGCTTGGTTTCCTGCTCCCGGATCAGGCCCAGCTGGGGCTGCCTGCAGGCCAGGCTTGCTTTTCTGCTCCCAGATCAGGCGCAGCTGGGGGCTGCCTACAGGCCGCACTTTTCTACTTACCGATGGCCGAATCACCACAGCGATCCAGGGCCCAGCGGCACTTTCCTGCTCTCCAATAGTCATAGGGTCCCGGCTGGGGGCAGGGCTTAGCAGTGCGGGACTTAGGCAGCATGGGGGTCCCAGCTGGGGGCTCAGGTGGCACACAGGGGTCCTGGCTGGGGGCAGGGCTTATGCCCTGCTGCCTAGGGCTGCACATGGGGCCCGGATGGCAGCTCGTGTTGTCCTGCCCTGCCTGTAGTATAGGATAGAGGCCTGTGAGGGCTGAAAGCAGGTTTCTG